TAAAAGGGTGTGCCCTAAAAATAATGTCAGATCTTTAGAAATTTAAAGAATTTTGGATGCGCATTTTTGCGTGCCCTAGAATTAGTGTCTCGCCAAAAAAAAAAAAAACACGGAGGCGCTTATGTTAAAGGCGTGTCGACTAGAAATGTCGCTTTATAATTTTAGAAACGCACTCTTCAGCAACTAGCAGCGGGAAAAAGGAAATTAAAAAAAAATAGAAAACCCGCCTTCCTTCCTTGTTTCCCCTCTTTAGCTCTGGGTGTGTTCTTTGACCACAAAAATCTTCTCGGTCTTCCTCTGCCTCCCTACATCGAGTGTTGCTTGCTTCTTTCCCTTGCACTCCGACCGCCGCCACCGATTCTTCCCCGTCAAGGCTCATTTACTTCTACCCACAGAACCACCATATCTCCCACTCGATGTTGAAATTGTCAGAAAAATCCTTAATTCAGTATTATACTCTCAAGTCTCAATACTAAGAATGCAAATCTTGATTATCGTTTGTTTCTTATTCCCCACAGATAAATCGAAAAAAAAGGGAATTAGAATGACGAAGGTAGCGGGAGTTTTGGTCCGGTGGTCGTGGTTCATCTATCGAGCAAGGAAGATAGGAACGCAAGCAGCCATGGTGGCTCGATGATGGCAATCAATCGAGAAAGGGGAAGCACCTCTGGTGCGGGATCGATTTGACGAAAGGAGAAGGGAGAAGCAGCAACGCTTCTCTTGTCTACCGCAGCTAGGGGGCGCTCCGGTGGTCTCCTTGGCTGTTCTTCCTTGTCGCCAACAGATTACACGTAGGGAGGGGACTCAACTAGTCCGATGGAGCAGGTCAGGTAGCGACTGGTAGATCGGGACGATCGATCTATTCGTGAGGAGGAGGAGGAAATTATCGGTTCCCGGTGAGCCTTCCTTGGCTTCTTAGACTCCATCATCGGTAAAAATCGGGGTAAACGAGTCAGGTTCTTGTCTGATTTTGATGAAATAAACGGAGGGGGGAAAGGTTTGGGTGGAGGTCTGATCGATGAAAATAGTGGGAGCCTCTTGGTCTTGTCGGATGCTACTCCATCTCCAGTGGTCGTTGAGAACGAAGGGGAGGACCTCTGGGGTTTGGATAGATCAAAGGAAGAAGAAGAATGAAGTTGTGGTGGTCTTCGGTGATTGAAGGTAAACAGATGGGGTTTTCTTGAACCTCACAGGTCATATTCTTCTTCTTCTTGGGGCTTTTTTCTTGACGTTAGATAAACAATGTCTATTCTCCTGTAGTATAAAATTATTGTTCACAAACACAAATGAATACTCCCTCCTTCCAAACAACTGGTCCAAAATTCAAAATCAACTCAAATGCTTTAGTTTTTTTGACTTTGAATCTTTATTTTTTTGTCATAATGATCAACATTGGGGCTTTTTTCTCAGAGAAAGACCGGGGGTTTAGTTGTCTAAAGATCTGGAAGCATTATCATACTGTACAGAGGAACAGACTACAAGTGTCCTTACTTCTTTGTAAAACCAAATGATGCATCTGTTGATGAACCAATGAGTTCATCTACAAAATCTGAAGATAATGGTGTTCAAACAAGAACAACAGCTGAGCAGAGCCACCTTTGATTCAAGGAGTGGGTTAAAGAACCAGGGTTCGATTTCAGCTACCTGGTGAGAAACAGCTCATGGAAGAATCTGATCAGCTTTTGCAAGGATTGGGTCCAAGGTTTCAGCCTGTTGGAAGTTGGATTTCACGTATTGATTCATCCCTATCTTCTTGTGATTTTTAAATACAATTTTGATTTTCTAAAATTTTTATCTAATTGAACATGATGCACCTATTATTTTTTGTGTAGTGCAACTAGAAAAAAGGGAAAAATCTCAATTTTGATGGTACAAATGAACGAAACAGATCCACATCTTTAATTAGTTGTGTAGTTAAAGAGCAAAATTCGATGTATACATGACTCTTGACCATAGACACCAATATGATCGTATGTGGCTGGCACTCAATCTTCTCCACTTATGACAAAACGATAGTTTAACAAAGGTTCAACATCTCTTATAACTATTGTTTTTTAGCAGTGAATATTTTTAAGAAAAAAAGGATTTTGCGGGGTTACATGGTGGGAATTAAGCTAGATTGGAGAGGCAATGGTAATGGATGTTGTGTGGATTTTAATAAATCATAAGTCCTCTTCCAGAATTGATAAGACAAGGCGAACCAAGACATGTTTTAACAACATGGTGGTTGCTAGCTAATGGAGGGCCAATCGAATGGGGTAACACCTTGATTCAATCAAAACTTGTCCCGGTCGTCTATGGTAAGTCATTGGAATCTCAAGACCTGATTTGAGACATTATTAATCAATAAAAGTTAAGACTTTTATGCTTATGAAATGATAATAATAAAATAATTATAATTGTGATTTAATTAATCCAGGGATCTCAGTCGTAACTACCTCAATGGAACTTTACCTCCCCCAATGGGCTACTATGCGTTTGGTTGACCTGTATGATTTCTGAACCACCCAATTTTTTTACATGTGAAAAATAATTATTTTACTTTAATAAAACGTCTTAATCTTATAATAATAAACCATGATTATATGCAGCTCTCTCATGGTAAACAAATTATCCGGCCCATTTCCAAGAGTTCTCAGCAGAATAACTACCCTTGTAAATCTGTAGACAACATCACCCGTTCTTATTTTGTTACAATACAATAAATAGAAAGAAAAACATCACTTTGATTATTTCTTCAACATTTTTTAGGAGCATGGAAGGAAATCGCTTTTCAGGATCCATACCCCAAGAGATTGTCAACATGAAAAATGTGTAGAAACTGTAATAACTAATAACTTTTCTTTTCACCTTTTTACCCTTGTACACTTCTTCTTAAAACCCTAAGAAGGAAAAATAATAGATTGAAATTATAAACTTTGATCTATATTCATATAAAATTTTGTATTTCCATTTCCCAGCATTCTGGCTTCAAATGAATTATCTGGCCCACTGCCTGTTGGACTTGGAAAACTTACAAACTTGACTAATATGTGAGTATACATATACATAGTACATACATCTTGTAAACTTATCAGCTATGTTTTAAATATTATGTTTTCATCTCATATTATTTATGCATTATCAGGTTCCTTTAACTGCTGTTACATCAATAATCGATGGCTAAAAGAAGCTCTACATCCAGAAGCTGAAACCTTTAGAAGTCACATATTGGGGACCAGATTGTGACCCCCTGAATCCCATATTTTTGTACCCTATTATATCCCAGGTACAAATAGGTTAAACTCACTAGCTTGTGAAAGGTAGATACTGTTAACCATGAAGAGGGTCGATCAAATGGAGTGGAGTAGTAGCAACCCCATTCCCTTTATTCCTCGGAATGCACAAAGTCCCTTTTCCTTTTTGTATAACTATAACACTGTGACCCCTATCTATACCCACCTGGTAATTCACATTCTTTGTTTTGCTTCATTTTGTGCCTTTCCTTTCAAGTTACTTATATATCAAATGTATGATGTTCAAAAAAGTATTCGAATGTATAATTATTTTCACAAGAGAAGAAATAATTGAATAGATTGTTAACTCTCAAAATGGTGAAACAATTTTTTTTTCTATTTAAATTTTGTTGGAATTATTATCAGGAAAGGTCAAATGGCTAATGCCTTGTTGGTGCAGATCTACATGGGGCACTTATTCTAGGTTAAAACTCACTGCACCCTGTATCTATTTGTATATAATTTTCTTATATATTTCATCACTATAATTTTTTGTGTTAAAATTTTTCACTTTTCGCAGTTGCACGATGCAAAATGGCTGGTTTCACGGAGTGAGTGGGATCATGATCCGTGAAACTGCAGAGACAAGTATTGCTATGTTTATTTGTTTTCAGAGGTCAAGTATTGCTATCATCTCACATTTGAGTTTATAGGAATCAACAATCACTATGAAACTTCTTGTGTTTAGATTTCTTACTGGTTGTGAACATTTGTTTCTTCCCTTTCTACCCTTCACTTGCAGGTTGATGATTTGCAAGAATGTTCAGACTATTTTCCAAAAATACCCCATGGATTGAATCTTGTCTCTAGTATGTTTAAATAGGTTTGTGATGTAGGAGTTGGATTTTTTTTTTTTAAAGTTGAATGCAGTTATTTGTATTTGTTGTCATCTATTTTTATCTTTTTGATGCAATGCAACATGTTGCTGCTGAAGGCACAACCTTGGTCAAACAGGCAGAAGATGTTGCAAGTAATAAGAAGGCAGAAAAGAGATTGCATGTTGATCTTGCTACATGGCCAATAATGATCTTTAGGGTCTGCTAGAATGATTGGAGATTGCAGTTAAGCTTCTTTCTAAGACTTCACGCCAAGGACTTGATGAATTTAAGATATCATATTTTTGCATGGCTAGAAGCTTTGGAGGAAATGAGACTCAAGCAAAAGTAAACATACAGAGAGTTGTTGGCACATAGTAAGCTAGATAATGCAATTGTATATAAATTATCTTTGTTATTTATGGTATTTTATTTTGTATTATGAGATTTTTAATGTATTATTTAATTTGAAAATTAGTAAATCTATAAATAATATTATTTTAAAACATTTAAAATTATGATACGCAAAAATGTGTGTCATCTTCATTTATGACATGGCCTTTCTTGACAGGGGCTTTCTTGATACGCATTGTGTGTCATTAACACGAGCGTCATAAGGTTTGACACGCGAATGTGTGTCGTCTTCCTTTATGACAACGCCTTCCTTGATACGCATTGCGTGTCGTAAACGCGCTTCGTAATTGCGCGTCGTAAATGCACGTCGTCTATAGACGACGCGCAAAAGCGCGTCGTCTCTCTTTATGACAGGGCCTTCCTTGACGCGCATTTGCGCGTCGTCTGAGCCTTTTACGACGCGCAATGAGCGTCGTAAAAGGCTGTTTTTCTAGTAGTGTGATGAAACTGTTACTTATTTTGATTCAATTGTGGTATCTGCTAGCTATGAGGCTAAGAAGCTATCAATGCAATTGCTAGAGACCCAGAAGAAGTTAGATTCGAAAATATCTAGGATAGATTGTCTAGAACTCCAAATAACGAATATCATGGTAGATAGGGACAATTTATCAAGAGATAATAAATTGTTATTAGCACAAAGAAACATCTACTATAATGTTTCTAAGAGATTATATGGAAAAATAACTGAACTTCATCATTCGTGTGAAATCAGTAAAGAACAACATAGGAAATTGCTGCCATTTTTAGCTCTTGAAAGAGCTAAGGTAGATAACAATTCGTATGATTGTGAAAAAGAGATAGCTGATTTTGACAAGGATCCAAATGACAAGTATAGATATGGAATTGTCAAATTCGATGAATGTCTTGATTCGAATGATTTAGTTAACATTGTAAATGATACTTTGACTAAATCTGAACAAATTCACATTTTGAAAAAGACTGAGAGTTCAACATCTGATTCTCAATCTAATTTTGCTAATATTGAAGATGATTCTGACAATATTAGTGAAATTAGTGAGCTTGAAGATATTGATTGTTCTCAGTTGACTGTTATTAATGTTGCTTCGAATTCTAAAGGGAAAGAAAAAGTTAAGGATTTGATAGTTGAGTATGAAACTGATATACCCTCAACTTCGAAAGTTGGTGAAATGACCTTCGTGGATCTCAAAGATTGTCAAACTGATGATAGTGATGATGAAGATGTTGAGAAAGTTTCGAAAGAAAAGGTATCCTCAAAGGAAGAGGAAATTCCACGAATCATAGTTGACCAAGTGTATGGTGATACAAAAAAGTTTGAAGAAGTGATGAATGAAAAAGGTCCACATTATCTTGAAACAAACACGGTGGTCTTTCCAAATTTCAAGTGCACAGATGATGTCATTTTTCCAAATCAAGTCTTCGTAACTACAGGCAATGTTGAGAATATCAAACCAGAATTAAAGAAGATTGTTGAGGAAGACAACTCAAAAACAATTGAGGAAGGTTTTTTCGCAAATCAAAACACCGTTGAAAACACCTTAACAAAGAATTCGTATATTTTTCAAAGACAAAAACCACAAAAACAATGGGTTGAAAAATCAAAAATTGAAAAAGAGACAAAGATACATGTTGAAAAGGAAAAAGAAAAAGTTGTCAAACTAAACTCAAAGGAATTGAAAGATAAAATTGACAAATTTTCGAAGGAAAACAACATTTCAAAAAGACAAGCAAGAAAGAAAATGTTTTGGCAAAATATTGAGTCTCAAAAGATGTCTGAATCACAATCAACCAAAAATGTTTTCAAAACTAAAAATGCTTCTTTTTCAAAAACCCAATGATCAAATATAACAAGGTCTGAAGTAAATAAGCAACCAAAGTCTTCGAAAGTCTTAGAGACTAACAAAACAAGAGATTTTTCAAAAGGACCTAATCCAAATCAAAAAGTTTTTCAACGTCAAGATTTCAAATCAAAAGTTGATACATCCTATGCTTATTCTTATGTTGCCAAACCCAAAGTTGATTTTGTTCCTCAAAAGCCAAATTTTCCTAATTACACAAAGAAAGAAACAATGAGGACATCTCGGGAAAAAGGAATAACTTCAAGGAAAAACATTGATCATTGGCTTGAAGGAAAAGGAAAAATATATCAGTCGAATAAGTATTCAAAAGAGCAAATTAATGAAGCATACGAAAAATATGTCAATACTTCTTCGAATGGCAGCTCGTCATCTAAGGATTCGAATACCTCAGTAAAAGCATGGAGACCTATCTCAAAAGCGAAGACAGTTCAATCACAAACTCAAGATGCGAAGGGAAAAGTCAATGAACATTCGGAACTATCAAATTCTTATGTTTCAGTTCCTTTAGATGATGAAGTGAACTTAATTGATAGTCTCAAAACCAAAGTTTGTGATTGGGTTAAAAGTTCTTCATTTCATTCTAAATTGAAATCTAATTTCCAAGGACCCAAAAAGCCTTGGGTACCTAAAATCTTTCATTGATTGCAGGTTTTATGTGACGAGCAATATGATAACAAATGGTACATCGATAGTGGTTGCTCTCGTCACATGACTGGAAAGAAGGAGAACTTAAGAGATTTTCGAAGTCTCAAAAATGTTGGAGTAGTAAAGTTTGGGAACAATAAAAAATGTCAAGTCAAATGATATGGAAAAATCACAAATGGACAATTCACAGTGAATCGTGTTGAATATGTTGAAGGTCTTCAACATAACTTGATAAGTGTTTCTCAACTTGTTGTGGGAACTGGCAATCAAGTTCTTTTCAACGAAGAAGGAAGTGTTATTTCGAATGTTAACACAAACGAAATATTACTGAAATCTAAAAGGAAAGGTGACATGTTTACTTTGGACATCAATCCAATTGTAGGCAAACCAGCAATATGTTACTTTTGAAAGCTACATCTGATTTGAGTTGGTTATGGCATCGAAGACTTTCACATCTTAACTTTCGAAACATAAACAAACTTGTGGTACAAGATCTGGTAAGATGTTTACTTGTACTTAAATTTGATAATGATTCTTTATGTGTAGCTTGTGAAGTTGGAAATCAACATAAACAAGGTCATCCAATCACAATTGATTCAAAGATTGTTGCACCTCTGGAGTTATTACATATCGATTTGTGTGGTCCTTCGACTGTATCAACTCTCAACAATAAACGGTAC